AAACAAAGCCAGTCCACTCCCAACTCCGAAGATGCTGCTTTGAAAAGCTCTGCAGGAACTCTGGAGATCAGGTGGCTGATAGACACAAAGGATAATCTTGTCAGACCAGATTAACTTCTGGATCTGCTGGATCCATGCTTTGTCTGTAAGGAATGGTAACTTGCCATGCCCAGGTTAAGTTGTGCCTCCTGAACACAGCACAGCCAAGCCTCAGCTTTGCAAAGCCCTCACCTTGTCTCCAGTCCAAAAGCCAGTTTTTATTTTAAACCCGAGTTACATTTTACCTGCTTCCCATTTTTTAAAAGCCTTTTCCACATGTAAAAAACCCCTGCAGTCGTTAAGACTCTCTGAAGAACATACAGGCTGCAAGTCTGAGCAAATCAGGATAATTGCAAGGAAAATGTAGCAAGGGTGCAAGGCCTCGGGCTTTTGGAGAGGGGTATTTTCAGACTGAGGGCTGAAGAATGACTCCAGGACATCGAGCTAGACAGGGAGGGCAATGGGGGGAGGGGGGAAATGTCAGTGCAAGAGGCTACAGAAAGCTTATGGAGCTGCAAGTGCCCAAATGTGATTCTTTCCAAGCAAATAAATTTGCTGTCTGCATCTGTTTGAGGGTTTTCACCGAAAATGAGAAAATCATCTCTCCATATGCAAGATGCAACCCAGTGCATTAAAAAAAAAGGCACAGAGCAGTCTTGTCAGATAAATTAAAGCAATTAGAAAAAAAAAATCGATGCTTATGAAACACCACTGAGAGCTTTTGCCTCTCTAGTCTTACCAACACTTCTCTGAGAAAGAGACTTATAAATAAAATTTAAGAAAAAACATTTGACAAAGGGGTAGTGGGTTCCAGAGTAAGAGGAGATTATTTATTCTTTCTAAGGAATTACTAACTCCAAAAATATTCTCTAAAACACTCTTCAGCAAGCAAGCAGCTACTGGAGGATTTTAACTTGGACTCTGTCCCTATTTACCTTTGAACTCCCTGATTTCGTAAGGCCTGTAAAACTTTTCCATGAAAACCAAACAGCGACAAATTGACAAGCTAATTTTCATTTTTCTCAAGCATTCAGTAGTGTAGCAAAGCTTTCTTCTGAACCTCTCTGGCTCCTTCCCTTCTCAGAGAGCAGCCAGGAGTGTCCCTGCAGTGACTGCACAAAGGCAGCTCGGGCACAAACACTCTTCAAAGGCCGGGAAGGACAAAAAGCCAGCATGGTGCTAAGTGACATCATTAAACACCAGCACCAAGTCGCAGGGCAGCCTGGTTTCTTCTGGGAAGGATGTGAGGATGCCAGTGCCAAGCTGTCTTTCCTCAAGAGCAAAGTTAGAGTTGGAGAGCCAAGGCTACCTCACCCAGCATCTAAAAACCATTGGAACGCAGTGACTGCTGCACAACCTGCAAATTAGGAAGACTTTCACAGTTCACAAGTGAATTAAACTTTTTCTTATGCTGGTTCCCAAAACACTGCCTTTTCTGTTATTCTTGTGTGTTGCATTTAAATTGGCTTCTCAATTCCTGAATTAAACTGCTTTAACCAAACCCAGGCAGAGTGTTCGCTAGTTAAAGGTCTGTTAGAACAGAGCAATTTTAAAAGCTATCTTTGAAACTTATTATTCAACAGAGACAAGTCTCATTCTACTATTTTAGCACTACCTTCAAAAGGCAAGGAGAAAAGGGTTAGTATTTCACTACGTGAGAAACAAATTAGATGGGAGCCCTCTGGGACATGGCTTTGGGAGGGGCTCTCTAGAAGACACAGAGCCAGCAGGCAAATCACATTTTTGTGGTTATTGCACCTTTTTGTCAAATTTGGCTGCCTGGACGTTAGGAGCCACAAAGCAGAGTGCTCTGCTGCCAAGAGGGGAACGTTTCAAAATGAAATTACCCAAATCATGTGCTTGCATTCCCTTACAGGTACTTGGAGGGCCCATAAACACCTCTGCACTGCAGGAGCAAGAACTCTCAGTGCTAACCCAGGGCAAAACCAGCACTGCCACTCCTCCTGTCTGGCCAAGCCCTGCAACAGTCTAGTATTTAAAAAATAATAATTAAAAAAATATCTCCTCCCTCAGTATGTGTCTCTCAGTGGCTGGTTCACCAGGGAAGCATCACTGACTCCTCCAGGTCCCAGCACAATCGAGTACCGAACCCACGGTGTAAAACCAGTCCAGATGGGGATGTGCTGAGTTCCCTCGTGCACAGCAGGTCTCTCACATGCCTTTCTTCCCCTCACTCAGCACTACAGGGAAGGACATGTTCTCCTCTACATCAACAACACTGTCAATCACAGCATGATACACAACACAGCTCCATTCTGTGCCGCAGCTGTTTTGTCACATTTGATGTCTTGAGTCACTCAGCAGCACTTCTGAGGGTAGTTATGATAAGCTCCCCAGCACACTTATCTTCCATTGAAAGCAGGTGGAAGCAATCACTTCTCATCTCACCCAGTGAAACATCTTCTGTTCTGCTCTTACACAATCTTTTATTGTTTCTCTGGATACCTGAGCCGAGATTCCTGCCCAGGAGCGGAATGACAAGGGTACTTGCAAACATCCTTCTCCATTCTGGCAGAGACACACCGAGGCATTGTAAGTGCAACCCACCCCGACCCATCTTCCTCCACAGTAAATCTGACAGCGTGGATGACTCCCAGGGGCTCTCCAGCCCCTCGGCACCAGGGCTCTGCAGGAGCACTACTCCCCTTCTGTCAAAGCTAAGCATATCTATCAATCCATCTCCATTCAGGGAAGAGGTTTATAAGCCATCTAGATGATGCTTCTCTATAGCTACAGTTACATTTCAGACAGCAAAAGCAATAAGCAAGCCTTCAAAAGCAGCACATCATTCTAACAGAACCTTTTGATGTGAGTCAGAAATATTGTTGAATGTATGCGTCCTTTCTGGAAGACAAGAGCGTCTGGCTGTGCAGAGGCTCAGGAAAGCTCCTCTGCAGTTTGGCATTTGCACACCAGGTAAAGCCAGTGCAAAGTGCTCTCAGGTGCCAGCAAGGACAGTGCTGTGGCTGGGACACGGCTCCTGAGGGCCAGGAGTGTGGGCTCACCTGGCAAAGCAGGGAGAGAGAGGCTCCTGGGCAGAGCAGTGCAATCACTCCTCTGTAATTCTGCCCATGAACTCGGGGCATGGACACCAGGCATCCACTCGGGAGGTGGCAGAGCTCTGGCAGAACAGGCACTGCTATTGTTACACCAGTCAAACTTCTCCTGTAAACAAGCCCTAAAAATAATTTTCTAGATAAAGTAGGCTTGCAACACGAAGGAGGGAGGCTTAAAACAAAACCCACTTCAGAGTGTTTCCAGGGCTGTATCTTGCTGCCAGTGCAGGGCACAGCAGCACTGCCATCCATATGCTGCTTTACAGAACAACGTGAGTTCCTTAAAACTGAGATTAGAGTAACTCTGAAACTCCAGCAGGATGGCACTGACACTGAAATGTGACTGGCCAAAAGTGAAGAATGGATGTCCTCAAAGAACTAAAGATTTTCATTAGACAGCAGCTCTGAAGAGCTGGACAAGCTTGGTGCACCCCTGCCTGTGGGGCAGTTACTCACTGCACTCGGAGCCCCAAGAAAGATGTATTGTGCAAGAGTCAGAAATTACTTTTACTGACACCTGATAAGTCTTATTCTTGAGCAATTTAAATCTGTCAAGTTGTGAGAGTATTCCCTATGAGCCCAGGAGACACATGGACTACACTATCAAACACAGAGCTACGAAGAGAGCAAAAACACATGAACCAGCCTGGGACTGTTCTCAGGGAGCTGCTGAGGTTAAACACAACCAGCCTCAAAGCCCTGAAGAGCACAGGAGGGGGTTTTGAAGCTTATTCCTAGTGGCGTGTTTCTTCAGCAATACCTACCCATAGCTGTTTGTTCCTTGCCATTTAGCATCAACTGGCACAGAACTCTCACGCAAACACAATGGCAAGAGGCCAAGGGTCCCGAGACATATCCATGAACAGGGTATGAACTGCTGCTGCTCTTTGTGGACACACTGCCCTGGGAGATCTGCTTCCTTTGGTAGCAGTCTGATCACCCTCAGTGCAACTCCCTGCCAGGAGGGGGGAGCCGGGGGGGGGTCGGGCTCTGCTCCCAGGGAACAGGGACAGGAGGAGAGGGAACGGCCTCCAGCTGGGCCAGGGGAGGGGCAGGTGGGACATCAGGAGGAATTTCTGCCTGGAAAGGGTGGTCAGGCAGTGGCAGGGGCTGCCCAGGGAGGTTTGGAGTGCCCAGCCCTGGAGGTGTCCAAGGCAGGCCTGGCCGTGGCACTCAGTGCTCTGGGCTGGGCACAGGGTGGGGATGGGGCACAGGGGGGACTCGATCTTGGAGGGCTTTTCCATGATAGATAGTTCTGTGATTCTGGTTAAGATAGGTTGATCCCATTTAACCACGTCTTTCCACCAATTAGAGCTTTGATCTGCAGTACCACCAGCTCAACAGCCTTCGGGTTTTCATCAGAAAGAGGTGGCAGGGATCAGTTTTGTTGTCATTCCAAGTTTTTTGTTTGACTGTTGTTTGCTCTTTACACACACACGAGTTGGTTTCACTTCCATTTCATTTTCCTTTGTGTGACCAAGGCTTTCCCTGCACTAAAGGTCTTCCAAGAAAAGGCCTTTTGAGCTTCAGTTGGATTTTACTGAAAAGCAAAAACCTCCAGGCTTCAATCCAGCAGGACAGTCTTGCCATGGTCTCCCTTACTCCAATTCACCACCTCCAAGTAACAAATCAATTTACCTTTATCATATACTCAAATTGTATCATATTTGCAACTTCATGGGTTATTTAACAGCTGCTTTTTGATAAGCTTACATTTTAAATTATTTAAATATTAAACTGTGTTTAAATTCATTCAAATAAAATTTTAAAAGCAAATTTATTACAGAAATTGCCCCATGTTTCAGCAGAATCAAAAAACGTGTTTTGCTTCATCTTGCCTTAATTTAACTGGAGATAATTTCATTTTAATTTGTACCATCTTACCTCAATCAATTTGTTGGCATGTTCACGGAAAACCTGGGCATATTCTTTAACTTCTTTTTCATTGCCATTCTTGGCAGCTTCAATCAATACTAAAAGTGGAACATTTGTTTCCAGAAAAGAGTCTGATACATGGTCCATAACAGCTTTGCGGAGCTAAAATAAAAATAAAAGAAGGAGTTATTCCTCAGCAGCTCCTCTGCTGCTTCCCTTGACTGTATTAATACGTAAAGCTTAAACTACTTTTGTCATTGATCCTTTTTCCTTTGTGTGACCAAGGCTTTCCCTGCACTAAGTCTTGTCTATACACTTTTTGCTTCAATTCAAATTAAATCTCCTTAAAAAAATGGATTAGTTATAGAAGTGCAAGTCACCAGTTTGGCCACAAATATTGATTTAGCAGCTCATATTGGTTTTGTCTAAGTAAATTTGCTGCTTTCCCTGAGATGATTAAACAACACGCTGATTTAACTTTTTTATTTTTTCTACTAGAATAAAAACATTTCTCAACAAACTTGATCCATACTCCTGTTTACTCAAAAGGGGGAATATAGTGCTTTACAACCAAACAGACAAAAGGCTGATGCTGCATGAATACAATACTCAAATAAAATAGGCTGAAACGAACAGCCCCAGAATTATAAAACATATGTGATTATCTTCAAAATCCATGGAGGGGGAGTTGGTTTTGGGGTTTTGGGGGGATTTTTTCATCTCTCTCGCCATGAAGACAATTAAGAATCCAACATCTTTCTCACAAAGGTAACAGGGAATTACATTCCCACCCCACGCTTCCCTCTGAACCACACACACTGGAAGCTTCTAGTTTTTAATTCACTAAAAACAAGCAGGCAAGCCCACTGCCCACTAGAAACAAATCCCCAGCAACAGTCCCAAGAGGGCCAACATGCAGATCTGCACTCTTTGGCCACAGCAAGTACCAACCGTGCCACTGTGTCCCAGTCCTCACCTGTCTGCGCAAGTCTCTGGTCTTTTTGGTCATCTTGTCAATGGCAGAGTTCAGGGCATCGCTTCTCTCCTTGCGTCCAGCCTGAAAAACAGGAAACAAAGAGTTAGGCAGCTATTCGGGGCCAAAAAGTAGAACCAGTACTATTCATTCATTTCAAGTATATTGTCAACTTTTTTCTTTATTTTGGAGGTTTTTTTAAGTGATTATGCACACTGGAGGTAGAGTCTCCACCTCCCTGCTGGTTTGGGCAGGACAGCAGTGCTCCCTACACACCCTCAGCCCCAGTGTCACACAACACTGCTCTTCAGCAGCCACTCAAAAGCCCACAATCAAAAGTATACCATCCTTATAAAACATTTGTTGGGTATGAAAGCCAACATTTCAAGTCAGTCCCCAGGCCTACCCCCTGGGAGTGGGACTTCCCTGAGGTTTGATATGGCACATTTCGAGGGAACTCTGTTAGAGAGGGCAAAGGGCCAAACAGCAGTGGCAGCTCCTTTTTCCATCAGACACTGGGTCAAAAATATCCTCATTTGTATCAAAATAAGAGTGTCAGGTAAGACAACAGTGGTGGTCTGGTTTTGCTGGGAGTTTATTCTGTATGACATAGCTTATATTAGAGGTTCAAAACACACTTCATGCAACCACAATCCAATTTCTGAAGTTCTAAGCCACAATCAATACAATTATCCAGTTGAGAAGCAAACCCATTTAGCAGTGCTGCAGTGAGGGTATGCCAGGTATCAATTCTCCAGGTGACAGGCTGGTTTGAAATATCTGGATGAGTAGCCTTGAATCCAAAACATGAAGTCCACTCTACAGCACGAATAAAGAATGGGGGGAGGAATGAGGATGCTGTAACGTCATTATAGTTTAATGAATTACTGAAGATTTGTCACTCCCTGATCAAGTGATTTGCTTGTCATCACAGAAGGTAACTGAGAAGAGACTGAAACTACACACCCAGCAGCTTGTTCTGATGATGCCACAGCCCTTGGCAGCGCCGGGCTGGCCTGTTCTTCACTCCACGTTCGAAAATCAGAGCTGAAGTCTCTATTAAATAAAGTGAAGGCTAATGCTACTTATTTGCCCAAGAGTTTGCTGCCCCCTGCTCAGAGGATGTGGAAGACAAGCTGCAGTTAAGGCTGGAAAGGCCCTGTTCAGCCTGCCCTGAAGCCGCAGTTTGGGTGCAGGTGGGCACTGCCTGCACCCCGAGGGGGGCAAGGGGGCCATTCACCCCAAAACCTGCCACCTGCCACTGCCCCAACCCCAGGCTGCTCTGAGACATCAACCTGCAAAGGCAGCTCCTTGTTCTTCCTGCTGTTTCTCACCAGTTTCCCTACAGCAACGTGACCATGTTGCTGAACCCATGGCACCCCTCCCTGCACATGTGGGGGTTTTTTCCCAGGAATATCTTTGGATTTAAGAGATACATTCATCCATTATGTAGAAAGCCAAACATTCAGCTGTTCCAAGAAGTACCATTTTACTTCTCCCTGGGTGCCCCCACATTACCATTTTAACATGAAGCAGGAGCAGGCATTTGAAGCAAGGCCACCCATCAATTCCACTTTGCTGTCCCCGGCTTCACAGCCCACAACAGCTTCGCTGCACAGCACCAGATGCCTTTTGGATGAGAGGAAAACCAAGAGATGGCTTCCACTAATGGACATTCAGTTCATGAGACCACTACGTAAAACACCCTGTAGAGCCCATTAGAGCCTGAGCAGCACCGATTTCAGACTGCTGATCCCTTCCCAAGGAACTACACCACCTATTAGCACTGCAAGAGCTGTCTAATCTCACCCCACTAGATTTTAGGAAGGCAGCTCCAGTTTATTTCCACCTTGTTGGTATTCAGAAGTTTTAGTACAGAAGCTTGTCAAAAGCATGACTAGAATTTCCTTCAGAAGGATAAAACTCTCTGCTAATTTAGCTGTGGTAATTCAACAACTTAGCACACGCAGTTACTAATAGGGCTCCTTCGTTAGGACTGGAGAATGGGGCAGAAGAGGAGAGACAAGGCAGACACCCCCACCCCTGTGGCTATGGCAGACCCTGCTGCCATTAACATCTTAAACCACCACAGCCAATTCTAACCAAGGCCCTGGCCTGGAGACAAGGGTGTCAAGTTTTGCCCCACTGAAATTTCTTTTTGCATAAAATGAAACATCAGCATTAACTGTGGGACCAATCAAACCCCACGAGGTCTGAGTGGAGGCAGCCAGTGGGGCCGGTCTCTGGAGCACACCAGACCTGCACAGCCTGTGACAGCACGAACCCTCCTGGGCACAGCAACACACTGGAGACCATCCCTGACCACAGCACACTCACTTTGTCCAGGCTCCCACAAGTACCATGAATTATACCCATTGCTTCCACCCTACAGCTCTAAAGTCCTGTTTGAGTTGGTCTCCCTCTCTTAAATAATAAATCATGTTTTAAAGGCTCTAATTGACAGTTTACCATTTCTAGGTAATTTGTTCCAGTACCCAATTAGCCTTACCATTAAAAAACTGGTCCTTATTTCTAGTCTAAACCTTCAGTGAGGAGTCAGCTAATGACCCACAGCACAACACACCCAGCTCTCTGCCTGTCCTATCCACAGGATTACCAGGACTCACAATAGCAAAGCCTGAATATTCAGATTCCTAATAGGATTTTTAGATATTCAGCACAAAACTCTGCTGAGGGAATCACAAGCCCTGCAGTCAGTGAGCAGCTAATAGATTCAGTAGATTTAATAGGGTCATGATGACCATGTCAATCATTTTGCAGTATGATACCCCAGCTCTGTCCAGTATCATGGATAATAAATTCAGCCACAGTGCAAATTTACTTTAAATTAAATCAGATCTTTATCAAAGAAGATAGAATTGGTGTTAAAAATTGCTTGTTTCCCCCACCCCCATAATTTCTGCTCTTCCCTCACTATTGCTGCCCTGACTGGAGAGCAACACAAGCATTCCCTGTCACATCCCTTCAATCCCAGCTCACACCACCATCCCCAGCAGGGCTTGTTTTAATGGCTCAAAGCAAGGAAAGGGCATTTGCATACAGGGAGGGGAGTGGAATCACCAAAGCGCTCCTGCTGTAGGTGTGCCATCTGAATTCAAACAACCAAAACACAGAACGTTTTCCTAGAGCTACTGATAGACCCCAACTTTAATAAAGGCACCAGAGCACAGTGGTGGCAGTTCATGCCACCAGGATCAGCAGCACAGGAATTGCAATGAGTTACTCAAAGACATGTTTTTGCAGCCAAACACCAAAACCTTCCATTGTTAATATCAAAGGCTCACCATCAGTTTGGGTTAAGCTCCCTGTGAGGGGAGCCCAGCAGCCCTTTCCCCAAAACCAGCACCCAGATGTGAGCCAGATGTGCCCCTGCTGCATGACTGAGAGCTATCACTGTCCCACCTGCCACCCAGCACACAATTACCCAAAAAAGATGGTTTGCAGAGGGGTTTCTGCTTCAGGTGATCTGTGAATTGTCTTCTGGGCTGTCAGTACAAGAGGCAGCATCGTGGTTAATGATGGGGATTTCATAAGTGAAAAATGAGTGCTTGGCACACCTTCCTCTGGCCAGGCAGTGCTGTGTCAGTGTGCTCCCACCGAGTTTAGCTTCACGGGGAGGCAGGAGATTCAGTGCTCAGCTGCATTTTGCCTCGTGTTTGGTTCTGCCTTGCCACCTCACCTAATTCCATGTCTACAGAGGATAACCATCCACACCCCTCCATCACCGTGACAGCAGTGCTGCCAGCAAATTTCAGCTATAACAGTGCTGATTCGAGGCCAGGAAGGGTGAGCAGTGAAGCATGACACACAGGAATTTCAGCAGTGTTTTCACACCCCAGCTCTGCCTGTTGAGGAAGCCGCACTGTACACTGGTTTGCTGCAGGAAGGAGTCTCCCACGGTGAGCCCACAGCTCAGCCAAGCACAGGGGCTGCATGGCATCACCCAGGGTTCAGCAGGAACCTGAATGAGAATAAAGATGCCTGCACTGTCCCTCCTGCACAGCTGGCCATGCTACACCACTCCCACCCCGCTGTCCCTCCCCACAGTCAGGCTGCACCCACAGTGGTCCCACACTCCCCACAGAGAGGGCAAGGTTGGCTCCTGCACTCCCCCTGGTACAAAGAGGAATGAAAGTGTGCAACCAGTGCCAGGTGCAGGCAGCTGCCAGACAGGGAGGTGACATGGCACATCATGGTGACAGCCACCTGCTACACAGCAGTACAAGTGTCCTTTGCTCCCAGGAAGACAAGGACACCTGACCTATGGTGCCCTGTCCCATCCCTCCCACTGCCCTCTCTGGACACATCTGCTGCTGTTGGATCACCTCACACGTGCCTTTCTCTCCCGTGCCCACCTCTCAGGGCTCCCTGGTGACCCAGCCCCCCGGCAGCACACCCGAGGGACAGGACAGGCACGGGAACGCTGCAGCCACACAGCCCTGCTCCCCTCCTGCCTCCCAGCCCTGTGACACAGCACAGGCACTGTCTGCTGGCAAAACACCAGCAAATGCTCCCGCTGTCTCTAACGTGCCAACGTCCAGCAGCAAGTAGTACCACAGCCACTCCCCCAGGCAGAGGGGTGAGCTGCATGTTTGCATGGTGCCCTACACGGGGCTGCACATCCCGGGCACCCCATCTCACCCGCAGCTCCAGGGCTTGCATCCTCCAGGCCCCCAGCACAGCAAAGTCACGCAGCCCACATCTACATCAAGTAAAATTAGCTTATTTGTTGGTCTTAATACACTAGGAAGGCTTCCACAAGATGTCAGCCTAACTAAATGACAACGCCAGCCTCAGGGTGCAATTCTACTTTCCCAGCGCATGGATTTAGCAGGAAAACCAGTTCTGCTGCTGCTCCAGGAGTGGGGTAAGTGAGAAGCCCCCGAAAGGGTTATCTGATCCTAGCAAGCTTATTCCTGAGGCAGACATGCCAATTTCCCTCTCCACATTGCATGTGAGGCTTCAGGCTGCCACAGCGAAGCTCCTGTGGTGGCACAAGTCCCCAGACGCCACTCAGATGTGCTTTTCCTCGGCAGCCAAGTGAGTTTCCAGTCTCAGAA